CCATCTTCCCATCTAAAGCACAGTCCTCAGCTCAGCAATGGTACAGATGAGGATGAGAAGGTTTCTGAAAGCAGATCAGACGCACGACCCAAATTACCATCTTCAGAAAGTAAAGGACCGCGGCTTTCTGGCTCCAGCATCAAACATATTTGCGACGATCTGCAAATCCTGTTTTCCTGGATTAAAGTAAAAGTTGTTCTGCAGGCACTTGGCATTACATTACTCCCCGCTCATCCGTATGGTTCAGCCAGGTTGCTGTGCGAAAGCTAGTGTGATGGAAGGAAAATGAAGGATGACCAGATCTGACCACAGAATGGATGGTGACCACCTCATTACAAAACTGCCAAAGGCACCATGGCCTCGCTGCCAAGGCCTGGCAACCGTGGCCTCCACAGGTGCTGGCCCACTGCTCCCCCCACGGCAGCTGCGCTCTCCTTGTTGCTCTGCACCCAGGCCTCGGAGACGGCCCGAAGGGTGTCATTAATACTGAAATGGCGGTGATAGTGAAACAGTTTTCTTACTATTGTCGCTTAGGGTTTGGTTAATTCTCACTTATCACCTAGCTCTGTCAGACTTTTCACACTTGCCACAATAGTAGAACCTAGCAATTCAACGCCTAACCCAGAGTGCCACGAGGGCTCCTGGGGGTGAAGAGCAGGTTTACTGATTTCTAGGAAGAAATCTGTGTGTACAGTTCACCTCCTCCATATTGGCTCCTCGTACCTCCAAGGCATTTAAGTTAAGAGAGTCACTACAGAAATTATATTTAGAACATTTGTGTTTTAGAGATTAATACACAGAGGTCTCCTGATGGGCATATGCTTCAGGATGTTTTCAACACAACCATGGAGAAATCCTGGAATTCATGTCAGAGCACGCCACCGCATCTCGCCCACGGTCAAAGCCCAGCTTCCCACTCTGCCCTTCAGAGCAGTCCATGGAACTGGCTTCCCTGCTTACCTGGGTTGCCGCCTCCTGTGCCCTCAGTGGGCCAGCCTCTTGGCCTCTTTGTTTCTGAAACACACGGTAGCGCCATCCTGAAACGCTCTTCTCTCTAAACACCATGGCAATGCCCTCACGCAAGCCTGACTCAGGGAGCACGCCCTCCTGATTTACATTACGGTCACTATAACGTTACAGAACTGAAGATGGTCGGAACGGGGAAATGTGTTACTACACATATATTCCCCCCACATACACACACACTCGTGTTCTCTGTGAGGTCTTCCCTGGCCATGTACCTAAAATAGCATTGCCACCCACCACCCACCCTCGATATATTTCCTGACTGATTTCCTTTTCCTCCTTGGCCCTCATCATCATCACCACCTAATTTTATTTTATTTTTTACTATCCATAAGCTCTGAAAAGGTAAGGTTTATTTTTCTCTGTTTAGTTTATCTCTAGATTCTTTGCATCTGGAGAGTTAGTTTAATTGTTTTTCTAGTTAGTCGTGAGACTGTTACCTCCATTGTAAGTTAGAGACAGTTTGTGTTCACGTAAGGAGCCCTGGTGTTATACTCGTTACTCATTAGGCTGCGATCCACACGGCCAGCAATTTGAAACCACCAGCAGCTCCGCGGGAGAAGGATGGAGCTTTGTACTCCCATAAACAGTTATAGTGCTCAGAGACCCACGAGGGGCCACGATTAGTCAGCAATGATTTGAATGCATCACCAGCACCACCTC